AAATGGATCAAATGACCAAAAAAGCTTTATGCTTTACGCTGGAGGAAGCCCCGCTACTTACAATTTAAGCTAAATATATTTATACGGCTATTCAGGATCCATGTGCAACATATAGATATTGTAAAGATATGAGAAAATTGAGAAATCAGCTTAAAGAAATTTGAACATTGTTGTTAGTATGCAATATGCTTTATCGTGAGGATTGTCTCAGACAAATTGTAAATTCAATATAAATGGGCATAGCGTAGCTAAGGAGGGTATTATTAATGTGCAATCAAGCCACTTATATAATATCTTCATGTAGCTTTTTTAATTAAACCAGAGCTATTAGTCGATGCAAAAGATTTACTATTTATGCTAAAATAAGTAATATAATAAATTTGTTTGCAGTTTTAATCGCTCTGTTAAGTTTTTATCGACAAAAACATACAACGACTGCTATATTGGATAGATTGCCGCCTCATATAAAGAGTATTCTTGAAACATGAAATAAACGGAAGTTTCAAGAAATTTGTTTAAGTGCCTCAATCGGAAAAGTTCGACTTTTTTTAAATTAAGCTTGTATCTGGCAATAATGATAATGCATTCGTTATATATATATAGCGAATGTATATATATATATATATATGCGAGGTAAATACATATTCGTATTAAAATATAAAGTTAGTAAAACTTATTAAGAAAGTGAATATGCACATACGTAAGATCAACTTAGTAGAACAATGTGCGAAATACTTTGAATAGTTTAAATAGGCAAAATTTGTGTAATAGAACTGGCGACAAAGTAATTCTTGAGAAAGGGCCGAAAAGCAATTTCAATACTCAGTTTATATTATTGGTATATAAGATGTAATATTTGCATTAAATCTTACCACAATAAGTGAGCCAGGGTCTAAACCTTCATTAGTGACGAGACTCATACCATACGCAAAAATCACAGCAGCAGAAATCCAGATAGAAAGTGTAACCAAGCCCATTCCTAAAAAACACAAAAGAAGTTAGATGACAATGAATATCTATCTAGAGAGCTATGCTCACATAATTTCAACAAGTTATTTTATGAGTGACTAGTATTTGCTACAATAAGCCTTTTGGTTTGTGAGCACTAGAGTTTTGACATTACGCGGAAGGAAATTAAGAATATGGAAAATAATTAAATATTATAAATGCCTTAGGAAGAATCCTAAGCAAACGGTAGAATATAAAAAAATCAGATGAAGGAAAGTACGAAAACATGCCAAAAGTTAGTGACCGAGTAAAGTGTGCTTAATCAGTTAGGAGATCAAATCAGATCATATTTGAGGCCCAACAAAGCAGTGTCCATAATAAACTTTTCGATAAGTTAGCAACTTGATTTGGTCAATGTATAAATAAGGCAACCACTATTATAAAAGCTTATAAATATTTTCCATTTGTGCATCAAACATTAAAAAAATTTCCCTTAAGGAGTGATCATTTTTGATCTCCAAAAGCAAATTAATAAGTCTATCATAGGTAAGTGAATAGTTACAAAATAACTATAAATTCATTACACTCAGTTTGAAGCTAAATTAATAAATAATAGCAAATATATAAATTAAAAAAATTACCAAATCCCAGCAGCGTTGCTTTTATGACACCCATTTTTTTAGCATCGTGTAAATTTTTTTGATATCTTTCTAATTCCTTATTTTCACCTCCGAAAGCAAAAACGGTTTTTATTGCCGAAAATACTTCTCCAGCAACTTCACCAGCTTTTTCATATGCTTTAATTTCCTTTATGCTAAAGATCTTCATCATAACACCGAAGAGTCCGAAGGCAATTACTACAAGTGGTAGCATACTGCAGGCAACAAGAGTAAGTTTCCAATTTTTTATAAAACCAATAACTATTCCGGCAACAAATTGGGTTATATTGGAAAAAAAATTTCCTATTTTGTCACCTATACCCTCTTCTATAGTTTCAATGCTAGCAGAAAGACGACCAACAAGTATCCCGGGATTCTTGTCATCAAACCAAGCATAATCCTGCTGCAGAATTGCCTAAAATTTAAAAAAAATGTTATTAAATTTTGGAGAAGGTAAATAGGCTT